AAAGAAGAGGGGGCTGACACCTGAAGAAAGAGGATCATCAATGATGTCGGCGAGTGTGGAGCTTAGGAGGGGAAGATTAATGGCCACTTAATCAGTGAGAATGGGACTAAGGAAGCAAGAAGTGGGTCTCGTGGAAAAGGTTATTTTGAAGAAGGGGGTTGGGAGAAAACTAGAGTTTTCTCAGACCAAAGGGATCAAAGGAAATTTGACCCTGTGGGATAGCGGAAGGGAAGAAAGTATCACAGGCAGCTGAACATATTGTCCCAATCTTACTTACAAAGTCTATGAGCTTCTCTCACTTATTCTTGTAGGTGATGATGGAAGGGATGGGGGAGACAGGTCTAAGAAGCTGGTTTACAGTAGAGAAAGAAAGACCGGAGTGCCAAGGGTTTAGCTGTGCTTTCTAGGTTGATCCTTTGCAGATTGAACAATTTAAAAAATTCTTGTATAAGAAATGAAAAGGTAAGGAAGTTGTGTTTGTACTTGGAAGTATCATTTGAGTGAATATTGTTGGTATTAGTTATGCTGGTTGCAGAGTCAGGAAAGGGCCCGTTGAAAAGGACAAATTAAATTCTGATAATCTAATTCAGAGACCCGCATTGTTTTAACAAACAGTTCTTTGCAATGCCCAGTTCTAGACTGCTCATTACTGCTCAACTCTCAGTGAAGGATGATGACCACATGCAAGAGTAAGCAACAGTGTGTGAAAGACATAGTGAAAGAAAGGAAAAAGTCATATATTGAAGCATGTGAGTGACAAGGTAAAAGGCACCCAGGTGAGAAATTTACAAACAAATGGAATAGATCAAGGTGGTCAAAATGATGCAGAGACAATGGGATGCAGAAGTGAAGTTTGGAAGGTCACGTGAAGTTAGGACTTAGTAGGTGATGAATGGAAAGGTTATGGGAATATTAAAACATTTTTGTTATGACCAGTAAATGTGAGTGATCAACAAAACTCTAATTCAGATGTAGAAAAATACCTTAGAGGAGGAAAGAAAAGGTCACATTGTGTTCCAGTTGATCAAGGCTTTGTGAAATAGATATGCTTTAAGAAGGCTTTAAAAGTGATGGTAGGAGGTTTTTAGAAGGTATTATGAGATAATACAGCAGAGACAGGTTCTGTCACCAATGGTGAGTATAAGGTATGATAGTTGCATAGAAAACCAAAATCAGAGAATAGAAGATATATGAAGATTGGAGGAGGTTGCAGGAATAGGAGTGAGGAAAAGAAAAAAATCTTAGAGGAATTTGTAATGAGCGGAGAAGTTTTATATTTGTTGGATTGTGGGCAGAAACTTAAGATGTATCAATAAAAACAGGATAATAATTGATTAATCAAGATGTGGAGCTATTTTTACAAACTGAAGTTTAATAAAATTGATACGTAACTAAATGGAGCTTATCAAGCATACATGGGCAGAACAACAATTTGTATTAATACTTTCTTGAGTTATGAATATGTCTAACTTAATTCTTTACCATTAGAACTCATCTATAGTGTTGCTTAACTATAGTGTTTTGAAAATTGCCTAGGTGATAACATTGAGCAGGTAATGGTTAAGCACAGGAACATTTCTAATAGAATTAATGCATCTGTCAGCTTGGTAAAACCAAATAGTTTGTTTTCTTCAGCCACTTATCTGGAATTTACATTGGGTGCAAATGATGTGGTTACATCTTTCTTGAGTCTCACCTGACATCAATACACTTCGTGGAAGATTAGAATTCTTTTAAATCTGTAATGAGCATTAGCAAATCCAAGTAGACATTCACACTAACAATCAAGTGAGTGTTTGATCTTTCCATTGCAACAGGAGAATGCAACTGTGAAAAAGTGACGAGTGATTGAATGTAACTGAACTCCTCTTGAAATAATCAGGAAAATTATGATTCATTTGTTCTGTTAAAAACGCAAATGTAATTTTCTTTTAAGGTTTAAAAACCTGTTGATTGTGTAGCTTTAAATAATAAAGGTCATGAACTAATTTATAAATAATCAGTAATTGAGGATTCAGGGTTGTGCAGTACCCTTGAATCAAAAACTTGAAAGCTCTTTCTTTGTCAGTGGGTATTAACAAGCTAGCCTTTGGTTGTCAATCCTTTTTAGCAGGTCTTTTGACCGTGTTGTTCTCGAGACTTTGAGAATGTGCATGTGGTCAACCGTAACGATGCAGTTAGAATGAAAGGCTTGTATGTCCACCCAGTGTGCCAGTATAGCTCAGTTATGACACAGATACAAATGATGCACTCATTGCTCTTCATTCACAGTGTGGATTCTGCAACTGTCGATATAGCGGGAAGGTGAATTTCCTTTAAATCCCAGGACGGGTTAATTTGCTACAGGGTGTTCTTAGACCTTACTTTGAAAATTATATCTAAAATGCAAAGCCAAGTTATTTACTAATCTAGCATCTAAAATGAATTTCCTTTTTTGAGCTGGAAGAATTTTTCATTTAGGTAGTTGCAGAGAAGTTGTCTGTTTGTTTTGCTTGAAAGTATGGTTGTTCTACGCAGTGATGTATCTGTTTTTACGTACCTGTAAAGTTACCATCTCTCTCAAATTTGAAATCATAACCCTGATCTGGAACTTTTAGCCTGTCCATGCAATCATTCTGTCCCGTTACACAAAAGGTAAGAGGAACATAAACAAGGTGTGTTCTTAGCATCCCAGATTTTGGCTCAAATAATAAAAGTCATGAACTAATTTTGTAAATAATCAGCAATTCCAGGTGGTAGTAGACTGAGTCATGTTAGAAATTGTTTCTTCGCTCAACTGGATGGGGAAAGCAACCAAAAATAGTTTTGACATTTAGTCAGGAAGAAATAGAATTATGATACTGTCTGTGGACTGGTTCCACCATGGCCAAGAGCTGTAAATTGCACTTAAAAATCAGCAGGCAGAAAGGAGAAACTCAACATAACCTCTACATAAAGAGATAGGTTGGTCTTACATTAAATGTTTTCAAGAAGGAGTTAGATATAGCTGTTGGAGCAAAAGGAAACAAAGGATATGAGGAGAAAGCAGAAACAGGCTATTGAGTTGGATGATCAACCATAATCAAAATGGTGAAGCAGGTTCAAAGGATCAGAGAGGCTACTCGTGCTCCTATTTTCAATGTTCCTATGTTCCTATATCTAGCGAGCAAAGCCAGCTGTATGGTGATGATATTGGTTAGAGATATTTGTGTGATTAATATTCATGCTTGTGTATCTTAATGCCACTCAATCACTGTTAAATTATTGTGCAGTTGAAGGGTAATTTGTTTAATTGACTACAGTTATGCTTGTGAATTTTTTTTTTCTGAGAAGTGTTCTTTTCTGTTACTTTCCAACACAATACTTCATACAGTCATTTCAGGTCAATACTTCATACAGTCTGAATTGTCTAGGTGCTTTACCTTAAGCCTTTTTGAAGCTATAGGAAACTGAACTTCACTCTGAGCAAAGCAAAAAAATGTACAGCCATATTGAGAGATAACAAGGTGTAGAGCTGGATGAACACAGCAGGCCAAGCAGCATCAGAGGAGCAGGAAAGCTGACGTTTCAGGTCTAGACCCTTCTTCAGAAAAATCTTCAGAAAGATTTTTCTGAAGAAGGGTCCTGCTCCTCTGATGCTGCTTGGCCTCCTGTGTTCATCCAGCTCTACACCTTGTTATCTCAGATTCTCCAGCATGGGCAGTCTCCACTATCTCTACAGCCATATTTAGTCTTGTTAAACTTCGTTTTCCATCTGTGTGTACAATAGTAGGATGTTGCAGGAATCACATCAGTGAATAGAAATATCCTTTTGGTAACATTATACATTTTATTTGTATTGATAATAATGAAGTCAAAACAGTCGTTTAGCTGTTGGGCACAGTTGTTGAGTATGATGCTAAATTTAATCTGTATCCTTTTAATCACTATCCAAAACCGTATAACTCAATTAAGAACTGAAAAAGAAGTGGAATAATTTAAGTATTATGTGCAAAAAAGCTACATTATCAATAAATTTGAATGAGTTGGTTTAGTTTTCCAGCAAACCAATTTTCAGAATTTTTGGAGTTTCATTAGAAATACTAATGGAACGTCGCCTTGAAGACCCATTACTAAGGATTAGATTTAACCACTCTGGTGTTCATTACAACTGCTTCACTGACTTCAAAGTTTAAAGACCTCTGCAAAAATTAATAACTTTCCTACAAATGGTTGAAGAGGGAAAATGCTGAATACTTAATTGATGCAATAAATATTATTGAGCCTCCATTCATGTTGGTTATGTAAATTATGTAGGATTTATTGATTTATAACACTTTTTAATTTATCAATGTTCATTTTATTACGTAGAATTCTGTTCTTGACAATGCAATAATCTGATTACATTTTAAAGAGTAATAACTCAAGAATTTTGGAAATGTAGCTGTCTGAATAATTTGAAAGTGTAAACCATGTGACTAGACAAGGGAATACTTAAAATCCTAATAGAGAAACAAAATACTGGAAATCTAAAATAAAATCAAACACACTGTGAATACTCACCGGGTCAGGCAGGATCTGTGGAGAAAGAAAAACCACTGAAGTTTTAGCTTGATGGCCATTTCAATCATGTCAGAACTGAGTTCTGTCAGAGGGCCACCAGTCAGCCTGAAACATCATTTCTTCTCTGCTGCTTAAAGCCCACTCTTCTCCAGGTTCTTGATTTTCAGAGAGGTGTTCATTATTAATGAATAACCTAAACTTTCAAGCTGTTATAACAACTACAATTACATGTCCAGTAACTATCAAGATATATAGGATTGATTTGAAACTGGAAATTAGTGTTTGAATGCCATAATGCATTAATCTCTGCTATGTGATGATAAGAGATGTACTATAACCAATTGGTATCAGGTCTGAATCCTTGCATCTCTAATAGCTGATCTGGTATTTGGACTGCATGATTTATTGTATTTATAGTAAAACAAACCAAATATCATTTTTTTGTGACTAATGAAAGAAACATTTTGTTTTGAATACAGAGGACAGAAAAGATTTTTGTGGAATTTAACCATGGAGAACTTCTAGAATTTTACAACAAGGTGAGTACGTTCTTTGTAGTACATCAACAAATTGACAGTTTACTTTCATGACTTTACAACAAGCATAAATAATAGCATGTTTGTCATTTTTGTTGATTGAATGTTCGACTTGGTTTAAGCGTGCCATCTGCCTTAAAGAAAGTCTTTGTAACTCCCTGATAAGTGAGCTCATTTATTTGGAGAAATGTTGGGGGCTTAATGTCAGACCCTAGTTTTAGAGTTATTCAAAAGGCTACCACCACTCAGTTGAGGGTGCGTGCCTGGTAATGTTCTTGATCGCTTGATACCAGCTTGTCGTACACAAGTGGACTTTTGGTGAGTCTGAATCCAGTTGAGCTGTAACTCTCGTCCTTCCCTTTCCTATCAGGATGGAAGCTTGTTGAAGTGCAATTCAACAAGTGCTAGAGGCACTTCAACTAAGTGGTCATCATTTAAGTTGAGCCTTAGCCGTATATATCAGTAGCCTACCTGATTGGTGGGGATTTAACAGTTGACCTTTATCCTGTTTGCATTGTACATCTTGTATATAATAATTTATAATGTTAGTGATGATCAGGAGCTAAAACTTCAGTTGATCTTCTCAATTCAAAGGTGCTAAAGTAGAGTGCATTGCCACCACTAAAATGGAGATTAAGTAACTGAGTGAAAACTAAAGATTGAAATTGATACTTCCTAATATGCATAACTCAGTAACTCACAGGGTAATCTAATTGAGTGAATGGGGAAACTTGTGGAGTTACTGTCTACATTTACTTTGAAAAGTGTCACTTTTCAAGATGTAATACCAGAGATCAAGTCTGGAGAAGCCAGATCAAGTCTCACTCCTCTCAGCTCCTAGTTTATACTAAGTTAGAGGTCGGAAATACATTGAGAATAAATTCTGATGTGCTATTCTCTATCATGACATGGTTACAGCTACATGCTACCAAATGCAGCTGCGTACTTTAACTGCTGAAATCCGTCATAAGCCCTTCAAATAAGCATTAGCAGTGTCTGCTGACACCCACAGCTGTGGGAATCTGTACATACATGCTACTCTAGAAAGACCCAAGCACAATTCACCCACTATTTCATCGCATAAAATCTACATATTATGTCATACACAAAGGCCACACTGCACACATGCTGAGAAGAGGGCTTTTGCAATCGGGTTCAATGGTGGGGAATGAGGATGTTGGATGGGGGGGAGAACAATTTTGGGGTTGGGGGGTGGGTGGTGCAGAGAGAGCACGAAGGATAGTGTGGAAAGAAGAGCATGGAGGGTGGCAGATGGGGGGACAGGAGAGGATAGTGTTGGGGGGGGAGGAGAGGACAGGGAGGTGAGTGAGTGAAGAGGAGAGGACAGTCGTCTGGAGAATCGAGAGGAGAGAATGGTCTGGGGAGAGGAGAGGAGACGAGACAGTGGATAAAGGATGGTGCTGTCAGGGAGAGGAATGGGTGGAGGATGGGATAGAGGGATGTGAGGATGAGAGATGGGTGATTTGAGAACGTGTCATGGGTGGGGGTCATCATCTTTCTTCTGCACTGCGTGCCCCCCCCACCCCACCCCACTTTTCCCCAGGCTGCCTTTTAAATGCTTATCTGCAAACTTAATTGGTGTTGTCAGTAAATGCAATCATATGTAAAAACCAAAAGAACTGCGGATGCTGTAAATCAGGAACAAAAACAAAGTTACTGGAAAAGCTCAGCAGGTCTGGCAGCATCTATGGAGGAGAAAACAGAGTTAACGTTTTGTGTCCGGTGACCTTTCCTCAGAACTGCTGATGGCTGGGAAAATGTCAGTTTATATGCAGAAAATAGGGAGGTGGGTGAGGTAGGGAGTAAACGATAGGATAGAGCCCAAAGAGAGAGAAAGACAGTTGGACAGACAAAGGAGTTGCTAACGATCAGGCTGGGAGGGTGAATAGTTGTTAATGGGGACTGTTAGTGACTAACAACAGGGGGTGTGTAGTGGCAGGCTATGCGGTAACAAGGCCTGGTGTGTGGGTGGGGGGCTGGGACATGGGAGAGTTTAGGCCCTAAAATTATTGAACTCAATATTGAGTCCGGAGGCCTGTAGGGTCCCCAAGCGGAAAATGAGGTGTTGTTCCTCCAGCTTGTGTTGGGCTTCACTGGAACACTGTAGCAAGCTGGAGGCACAGATGTTGGCCAGGGAGCAAGGTGGTGCATTGAAGTGGCAGGCAACATGTAGTTCAGGGTCTTTTTTGCGTGCAGAATGTAGATGTCCTGCGAAGCGGTCGCCAAGTCTACGCTTCGTTTCCCCAATGTAGAGGAGACCACATTGTGAGCAGCGAATGCAGTAGACTAGATTCTTGGAAGTGCAGATGTTGCTTCACCTGGAAGGTATGTTTGGGCCCTTGGATAGTGGGGAGGGAGGAGGTAAATGGGCAGGTGTTGCACCTTCACCGGTTACAGGGGAAGGTGCCGTATGGCTGTGGGGAGGTGTTGGGGGTGAAGGAAGTGTGTGGATGTGGATGCTGGTGGGATGGTAGGTGAGGATAAGGGGAGCCCTATCGCGGGAGGGAAGAGAAGGGGTGAGGGCAGAAGTGCAGGAGATGGGTCGGACCCGATTGAAGGCCCTGTTGACAATCATATGTATTTGACACTTGGGAAATGAAGAAGGAGGACTTGTATTCATGTAGCACTTTTCTGAGCTGCGTCTAGTGAAACACTTCAGTATGATTATTGCTGCATTATTGAACATAAAGCAGTGGATTGTGCACTGCAAGCTTCACAAACAGCGATGTGATAATCTAATGCTGCAATGCGCTCTGCTGTGAGGACAGCCTGGGCCTTAATTTAGTGTCTCCCTGAAAGGCAGTCCCTCCAGAACTGCAACACACTTTCTGTATTACACTCGAGCCAGGCGTTTTCTTTGTTCTCGTGTTGTAGATTGGGACTTGAACCCAATAACTTCTGACTCCGAGATGAGTGTGCTATCAAATCATGCGATCAAGCCTTGACATTTTTACTAGGAGCGTTGAGTTCATCATGTGCTATTCAAGTAAAGCAATGCTGAAAGGCAAATAGAGTATGAGTCACTCTGAACTGGTTACTTTTCAGATCTCAGACACTGTCTTCCTTTCCTTTCCTTTTGCTCTCCTAGTTCCTTCTCTTGAGAGACATAACACCTCTCCCTGTAGCATTTTTTTTATTCATTCATAGGATGTGGAGGTCCCTGGGTAGGCCAGCATTTATCGCCCAAACCAAATTGCCCTGAAGACAATGGTGGCCTGCCTTCTTGAATCACTATCGTCCTTGGGATGTAGGAACACTCTCACAGTGCTGTTAAGTAGGAGGTTCCAAGATTTTGAAGCGGCGACATTGAAGAAACAGTGATGTATTTCCAAGTCAGAATGCAGTGAGACTTGGTGTGATAGTGTTCCTGTGCATCTACTGCTCTTGGCTTTCTCAGTTTTAGAGATCATATGTTTGAAAGGTTCTGTCAAAGGAGGATTGATAACTTACTGAAGAGCACCTTGTAGATGGTAAACACTGGAGGCATTATTTGTCAATAATGAAGGACGTGAATGTTGAAGGTGATGGTTAGGGTGGAAATCAAGTGGCTGCTTAACTCTGAATGATGTTGAGCTTCTTGTGTTGTTGGAGCTGCACTCTTCAAGTCTACAGTATTCTGGAAAACTGTCTCTCTTTTCGGTGTATGTAGAGTCTCAGTTTAAAGTTGCCACTTTTTTAACATCATTTTGCTTTAACATTGCATTACTATGACCAGAAATCTCATTAAGTATTGAGATTCTAGTGTCTTCAGGGACCACCACTCCACCCCCTCACCTAGCATTTTGATAGTGGCGATTCAGTGATGATAATACCATAGCCATCTTCCATTGTGCGAGGTATGACTGGACATCAGAGTATTTTCCCCTTGATTCCAATTGGTTTCAGCTTTGCTATTGGGCTCCCTTGTATTATTCTTCGTCAGCTGCTGCCTTGACATTAAGGGCAGTGGTCTAAAGCATTCCTTTTCCACAACAAAATACTTAACTCCTGTCTCAAAGACTGCAGCTTCGATTTGTCTTCTCAACCTAAAATTTAAGGACAATGGATTGTTTTAATGAGGACTCGTTGCCACTCATTTTCTAATCAGCAAGTTATCCTTTACAGTTTTTGATGTCTAATGTTATTTTAAAATCTAATTGTGTTAAGCAGCAAGTAATATGAGTATATTTTGTTTGGGACTGTGCCTTATAGACACTTAAATATGAAGCAAGTTGGATTTATTGTGCTGGTTCAAATTCTGTTAGGATTGTATTGTTAGGAGTTGACCTTGAGAAAACTGAATAAAAACATTGGCTTTCTGCATTCCTGGTGTTAAACAACAGTTGTGGGAGCATTCAAAAGCATAGACGTTAGCTATTATACACTAATGTTTGTTTCTTTTTTATCTTCTGCAGTTGGAAACTATACAAGCACAACTGGACTCTCTTACGTGACTCATAATTTGAACAAGAAATGGTCTTCCAAAAATATATCTGTCAGCTGTAGGTTGAATAACTAAAGAATTTTCATAATAATCGTTGTTGGAGAAATCGAATGAATTGATTCCATTAAGTATCACAGCATAGCTGTAAAAGTACCATTTTTGGATATCTTTGCCAGCCAATGAATCTTGAATTTGACAAATTGTTACATAACATTCAATAGCACATGAGCTGAGTATCAGCTACCTAAATACTGCCTTGTATTGATTTAGGATTATCAATGTCAATTAAGAACATCCTAATAATTTCACCATGATGTGATGTTTGGATTTATGAATGGAAGATTGGGCAAGAATGTATGTTGTTTGAAAATAAAATTGTGACACAGCTTTAGAACGGTTTCAGCAGCAATAATGGTTTCCATTTTCATTGTCTTGTGAAGACCGGAAGATGGATGAACTTAACGTTCAATTTACTGTTTTAAGTATTGCAGCTTATTAAGCTTTTGTGATAACATTGTATACATATCTATTATTAATGAATTCCATGCCATTAATACAGCAAACCTTTCTACAATGTTACACTTAATAAAGCTAATTTTTTTGTTCTTGTAATTTGTGATATTTTCAATGTTAAGTAATGGCTAGAATATAAATGTATTGAATCGCCCTGGTTTGTATTGTCTGCTGAATTAAGATACCTGAGTAACCACGTTCGATTGTCAATGGTAATGAACTTTCAGGCTTAATACAGTGGGATTGAAATGCAAGTTTTGAATAGTTCCTTGCATAAGCTGAAATAAATACAGAATTGATGATGTACAGTGTGGATGTTTTAGCATGTGTCATGACATGATATAATCCATATAATTGCTGTCAGCATGAAGCAAGTTATTGTCTTACACACTTGCACACATGCAAATACAATGGCCAGCTGGCTTATAGGTGACCTTTTATGAGTAGTGTTAATAATTCTTCATTTCATTCTGTGCGATGTAAAGAACAGCGTCTATCCTATTTATGATGCGTTCTTATTGGATCTTCAAATATTATTTTCTTTATAATCTCCTGTCTTTTATTGACTTTCTAAATAGCATAAGATTAAATACTGCACAATACTAGAGTTAATATCATTTTAAAAGATTGTTTCATGTCTTTGTTTTGCTCATCCTAATGCAGATTGTCAGTGGGGATTAATTTCACTTTTTTGTTTCAGCAGTCTGAATACTGTGTAAAGGTATCTTGTCATCGACAATTTTCAAACTTTTCTGTGTGGCAACTCCTGTAAATTATGATTGGTTCCCAGAGTGCTGTCTAGTCCAGCTTTTAAAAGACGACTGGGAAGGATATTCTATGAGAGTCCTGCATTCTGGTTATTAGAATGGTTATTAAAAGACTGCACTCTGAAAAAATGTTGGTTAATGTGACTTTTCCTTGGGGCTGCCAATTAATGGCTAGGGGCAGCAAGAAGGGATTCTCTGCTCAGTTAAAGATACCAGGGGGGCTTTTTGCTTGAAAGCAGCAACAAGCAGCCCTGGCAGGGTAGGTGAGGGATGACCCCATTGCCCTGCCTCCAACTTCTTTAAAATAAAATGGTATTTGCTGCTGGCTCACCACTGGGGATCTGGGGAAGCCCTTCTATAGGGTAGCCTACAAGCTGGCGCGAGAGCCAGGCAAGAGTGAATAGCCAAGGACATTTTCCTAGGGTGGTGGTGGGAGTCCAAACCTGCAGAGGTTTAAGGTGAAAGGGGAAAGATTCAAAAACGAATTGAGGGGTAACTTTTTTTCATGCAGAGGGTGGTGCATGGATGGAAAGAGCTGCCAGAGGAAGCAGTGGAGGCTGGTATAATTACAACCTTTAAAAGGCATCTGCATGAGTAGATGAACAGAAAGTATTTAGAGGGATATGGGTCAAATGCTGGCAAATGTGATGATGTCAAATTGGGATGTCTGATCGGCATGGACGAGTTAGACTAAAAGGTCTGTTTCCGTGTTGTATAACTTATGACTCTATAAGTAGCCAGGACCCCTGAGCCTTCCTGGAATGCTGGACCTCCAATCTATCACCGAGTGTTTGCTTCCACAGGCAGGTAAACTGTCCCAAACAACTTCTGGGACCTCCTTTAATTTGCCTTAACTAGCCCTTCATTAGCTTAACTGGCTACCACATGCTAGATGGAGCTAGGGAATTGACGCAGCAACCAGCTGTGTTACTGTAGCCCTCCCTCCTTCATTCCCGGCCTCAAAACCAATCCTATGGTCTGTTACAAACAAAAAATCTTCCATCATTACAGAAAATGTTTTTCATTTAAAATTTATCAATAGAAATAACATGCCGGTAAATCAACACATCATCGGACAAACAGGAAGGAAACTAACAACAAGGGTACATGAACACCAACTGGCTACAAAAAGACACGACCAATACTCACTCATCTCAATGCACGTGGACAAGGAGAACCACCACTTCGACTGGGACAACACCAAGATCCTGGGACAGGCTAGGCAGAGACAAGCACGAGAATTCCTGGAAGCATGGCACTCCACGAAGCAGGCTATTAACAAACACATTGAACTCGACCCCATATACATTCCACTACGGAGGGAACCTGGAAATGAGGCAATTCATCGCAACAGACCCCAGAGTTTAAAAGCCAGGCGGGAAAACACACCGACGCTTCATCAGAAGCTGCACTGAGGATGTTACCAAGCACGGTAACGAAACGTCTGCGGAACAACAAACCAGCTCGGCGAGCCAACCAACCTCAACAAATCAACACATATAGAAGGAATCAAAATCTAGTCACAGATGGATTGATGTCTACAATCTTCCTAAAGAACCCCCAGAGTCCAGGAATCACTCCAGCTTCAGAGGAGACTGTTTACAGAACTGTTCCTATTTACCACACTCATGGAGATGGGGAGAAGGGGGTGATTTTATGAAGTCTACAAGGATATGAAATGTAGCAGGCAAGGTGTCCTAATTAAGCAGGATGCAAAAATTTCAATCTCCCTATGAATGCTTGAGAGGCAGAGATGAAGTCAGTCTTTTGTGGTGTGTCGTGCATTAGGATAGTCTCTGGCAAGTTCCTACTTGTAACATGATGTAAAACTAAGAAACCTTGCTTTTGGGTAGAGGGTGAGAACTCCAGTGCCCGGCATGCCGAGAGTCCTGATGCACGTGCAAAGTACGTCAAATGCTTCATCCAGTATTCCTCTTCAACATTTAAAGGGCATAGCAATCCAGGTTATTGGGATTCATTGACTTGGTGTGAAAACAGAGTCAAGAATTAAATATGAGCTCTATAATAGGGGAGCAAACAGAACCCAAAGTAGTTCTAGGGTGGGGAAATGCTGGTTGCATATGTGGTTCAAATGGTATTAGGTGGGGAGGGATCCTAGACAAGTAACTGAAAACCTAGGAGGGAAAAAAAATCTAATCACAAGAAGTGATAGGAAGCAGAAATCTCCTGAGAGACTGGGAAAACCATCAAGAGGTGACTAGCATAGGGACCAAGAAAGAGGCTGTAGGTGGTGAATTGGTGCAGGCTCCCTGGCTGGGGCTTGGGGAGGCTATCAGGGAACTGAGAAGCAGCTGGAGGTTAGCCTGGTGTCTGTGCCCAAGCATTGTCTGGAAGGTGACTTTGAGTGTCCATGAGATGAGTCAGTGTTCAGGCAATCTAAGACTGAGTAGCATCAGAGGGAGTGAAGAGGTGGCATCTTCAGGAGCGAAATCTTCTCAGGAGGAAACTCTAAGCATTATTGATAGTTTAAAGACTCACAATCATTTCTGCTATCTGGCTGAGTTGTTAACAAATCCATGCATAGTGTTTTAGTCATATCTGCCATTTAGTCTCCAATGTTGTGCTAGACCACAGATTGCTATTAAATTTATATTAGCCTTTTGTTGATTTTGGATGTTAGGACAGATATTGTAAGCTATTTTACTTTTTTTGATTTGGTATTGTAAAGATTATATTTAGTTTTTCAAACCAGGGGAATCTTGTGGCTTTAACCCAAAGTTCTGACTAAGGATCACTGGACTCGAACATTAACTCTGTTCTCTCTCCATAGATGTTCCCTGACCTGAGTTTCTCCAGAAATTTCTGTTTTTAGTTGCTTTGTCATTGTAGGATTTCCTTATGTGTGGGGTATCAATGACTGAACTCAAAAGTTCCTTGGGAATGGCTAGCTGCATTTTTAAATTGTAAAAGGATTTGATCAATCCATGGAGATCAGACCATGGAGAGACTTGCACGGGATGCTAAGGACAGCTCCATCTGCATAAGGTCACACAACAATGACATATCTGCCTGACTATTGCTCCATTGCCAAATCTCCATCAACTTCCTGGGGAGATTACCTTGCAATGGTCACTTTTTGGGTAAACTATAAATCTGTGTCCTCTATCACCTTGATTGGAATGGGAAGTGGAGCTTTGTCACATACACTCGTGGTGTGTATAGTTACCAAGGACGTCTAGGGGGTACCACGAAACTCTAATATGTAAGTGTGCCTCACTCAATTCTGATCTGGCACTGATTATTGAAGGGTTTTCAATGCAATTGAGCTTGCTTCAGATTTATACCAATGAGTGTGAATGGGACCAATGCCCTTGAGTGCATAGATGGGAGTCAGTTGTACCTAGTTTTCAAGCCATGCTCATCAAAGTAAAAATTTGCACGAGCACCCAAAGAATGCACAAAATGCAACTGAATCAGCAATAATGCCTTTATCTTTTTCTCCTTTCAAGCCATCACATTGAGAGAAAAATATGGAACAGGAAATACAGATACAATACAATAGGCCACAACAATCTCTATAGTTATGAACACCTAGAGAAAACAACTGGTTTTTTAGGCTGGATTTTCCAAGGAGTGACAATCACGTTAACATTGCCACTCTGCTTCTACTTCATTGAAGAAAATTCTCTGCGTTTCAGGTGGGAGATTCTGATCACAGATCCAGCAGAAACACTAAATGTATTTCAGCTCAACTGTGTCTTCATAGTGTAGGACCGTGGGGAGAAGGCAAACCATATACCATCCTTTCTCGAGCAGTAGTTGCTGTATTCTGTAATTTACATGTCCAGCAGCACAGACATCCACTTTGACAGCTCCTTTTAAAGGCTAAGTATGAGAGGTTACGGTGCCAGATGGGAAGGATGCCAGATGAGTAGTGTGCTAGGTAGGTCGGGAGCCAGGGGCCAAGATGGAAAAGCTCCCAAATAGGTGCCTGACTGTTTAGGATAGGCTATGATAGTGGAAATATGTGGTCCAGGGGAGCAGATTCATGCTGGGCAAGTGAGAGGCAAGGTGTCAATTCCTGAGGTCAGAGCGGGAGTGTTGGGTCCCAGTGAGAGACGTGTGGTGGGTCGTGAGGACAGTCAGGCCTGGTGTTCGGGGAGAAGGGACTGTTGGGTTCCATACGTGCCAGAGGTAGGGATCAAGTCCACCGGCAAGGAGGGCGGGTATTGGATCAGGGAGTGTTAGGTCTGGTAATGGTGGGGAACAGCAGTATTAGGCCAAGGCCCTAGGGGCTCAGGGAGTCAGAATAGGAATAGATACAGATATGGTAAGTTTTTGGAAATGGTAGTCAGTCAGTTTAATAATTATCCAGGAGTTAGACTAGGTTTTTAAATTGCCTAACTTTTCCTGGTAAGTATTAACTGCACCTGAACCTGCCAAATTCTTCACTTTAAGAGGGTACTTCAGAGGGTTTCAGGCATGGGGAATTATACATTGGAATCTTCAATTTCCTTGGAGACTGCTCTGTCTGAGGTTCTCAATGTTCAACTTAAATACAGAATCTAGGAGTA